AGATTTTTGATAGGTCCTGTGTAAAATTTTTTTTTTTTTTGTTCACAATGATTAATTTATTAATTATTGTGATGCAATTTCAGAGTACATGAACATATTATTTTTTTTTACATTCAAATATCAAAATTTTGCTAAGTACGATTGACCATAGCATCTGTATACCATTCCACCAATTTTCATGTAATTTTGTTAGAGAGTAAGAAGCCTTCGATTTTTAAAAATTATTGTTTGTTTTGCAAGTTGGTGCTGTTTCCATTCCATGGCAACTTTCATATTTTCAGTCTTATCAAAATTTACTTTCTTCATTATTTCTTATGCCTGTAGCTATAATTTTTTTTCCTAAATATGAATCGCAATAAGAATCACCCTTGGGGTGAGCTGTTCCCCATAAAAATGGACAGTAATAATATGAGCATTTCAGAAAGCAATGAAAGGAAAACAAAACACAAAAACTTAAAAATTGCGATCTATTTTTTATTATTTGAAAGAATCCCACAACAAGGTCCAAGTAAAGACCATAAAAACATTGAATTGTTTAAGTCAAGATTAAAGACTAGATTATAATTATGATAATTACTAATAATAGAGGACATTTAATTATAGTGCCTTACTCTCGTTTTAACCAGCTCAAAAATATGTTACATTAGTTTAGTCATTTAGTAAAAGATAGTATAAAATAACAATGTCCAAATTTTTCTTTCTTCCAAACCTTTATTCAATTAGGGTGAGCTGTTCCCCTTAACAGTGGACAGTAATATGAGCACATCAGAAAGCAATGAAAGGAAAACAAAACACAATAATGGATAACCAACGCACAAAAACATAAAAATGAGATCTATTTTGTTTGAAAGAATCCCACAACAAGGTCCAAGTAAAGAACATAAAAACATTGAATTGTTTAAGTCAAGAATATTGACTATAATAATACTTCTTCTTCTTCTTCTCGATCGCATCATATAATAATACTAATAGAGGACATTAAATTTTTTATAGTGCCTTTGGTAAATTATAAACTGTCTGCAAAGGTACGTTTTGGGGCCCTCTTTTTTGCTGAATCTACTGTTCTTGAGCTCCTAATATACATCTGCACAAAATTACTTTGTTCAAACTGTTTGATGGCAGCTTCCAGGGTTTTGAAACTTTCAAATTCCGTCCCAATGTATATCGACCTAGCCTCTGCCATTTTGGAACTCAAGTGCACTCAAGTCGGTTGAAAAACATGTTCTACGCCATCAGTTTGTGACCGCCGTAAAAATAGCCCTGGAGGCTATCTTTACAGCTTGCCGTAAAAATAGCCACAGTGAATATTTAACGGCCTCTTTGAACAGTAAATTAGCAGACCACAACTACTCTGGTAATTACAAGTCCTAAGTTAAGGCGCGCTGGGTGATGATAGGAGGGTGTTAGAACACTTAACAGAAAGCCTAATTTGGATTTTATAGTGTATTGGGGGGGGGGGGGGGGTGTTAAAGAAGCCGTACCGGCAGGGTGGCCTCGTCGTTAACGGACTTTGGCCAAAAGGTTCGAACCCCGACCACTGACCTAAAAAAATTTTTTTTTTTGTCAGCGATCCCGACAGTGTTATAATCTTGAGCTTCGGCTTTTTATTGACGGTCCCCCTCCCCCCCGTCCCCTCGACATCCTCTTATGAAATCAAGTGATCCACCTTCGAAATGACTATTTGTGTACAGTAGGGTGTTATATAATAAACAACACTGGTCACTAGCGTAGTGGTAAGACACACTCTTCATAATTATGTTGAAGATCCCGGGTTCGAGTCTCGTTTGGGCCCACATTTTTTTCCGAGTTTTATTGCCAGAGGGGCCGTCTCTAAATGTCCCTGTGTTGAAAGAGACGAAACTACCATCTCAGTACTCAGTACGACAATAAATGCAATATTTCTGTCAACAATGTGACAGACTTAAAAAAACCCAATGAATGCGTAAATACTCAATACTGCCAGCAACTTTGACAGACACCTTAAAAAATGCCCCGTGTGTATCTTTAATAAAAATCAATAATTCTCCCTCCCCCCCCCCACTCCGGAGTCCTATACTTCGCAACGCTCAAACTTTGAAAGAACTTTGGTGACCCCAGCATCCGTAGGTACTCACATGATGACGTGTGATGCGAACACGCACAGGTTCACTGACTGGTCACGTTGGTGAGCCCGACAAGCTGAAAATCAGACTATATTTGATTTTCTTTTCTTTTTTTTTTTTAACAAGTGACAGCTCAGTCACAAATAGAATCTTTTGATTTATTTTCATGGCAACACAGTGTTTATAATTCACAACCTGCATATTCACAAATGTTGCGATTATTCATGGGTCATTCCCGTGGCAAATTACAGATTTCCTTATTAAATTCCCAGGCCATTCCCGGGTGTCGGGGATTCTTTTCAAATTCCCGGAGCCTGGCGGTCACCTAGTCAAGCGGTACAAGTGACAGGGCAGTTTCTTCAGACTGCACCGAATATGATGGAGTCAATCTTTATTGATCCATCGCATTGAAGTCAAGAACTAACCAGGCTTTCTGAATACATTTGTAAGCTAAATTACTGTTAAATGGGCACTGTTAGCAACTGACCATGACAATGCCCCTTCTCCAATGGAGTGGATCCTTTTGCGGACGTCGCCAATCGCAAGAAGTCCCTTTTAAAAAATTATGGAATAACGATGCGGCCAACCCCTCCCTGTTTTCATTATGTTCAGACATTTACACATGATATTTATTCGTTACCTCAACACATGAACCTATAATCGAATAAAAATATGATAAGAAAGCTTTGTAATGACCATGGACAAGTGACCTGTCAAATTTTCACTTTGGGATTTTAATCGACCAAATTCTTCAAACCATTGCCGCTCTCTCACTTTGCTGCCTATCGAGACTATCTTTGTTGTGAACATGAGACATAACTTCTTCCCCATCCCACACAGCAAACCATTACGCTGATTACTAAAAGCTCAATGTCTTGAGATTCTTTCTGCGTTATAGTGGTTAATTTCTGTGCCTTAAGTTTTTCTTCTAGACAAGTGTTTGTGGAGTACCCAATTTGTCCTATTTTTGTTACATACATATGAATAAATGATTGTTTATTTGAAAAGGGCATGATAGATCTCTCCAAAATCTGTGTTAAACTGACTACGAATATCATGTCTTTTACCATGAAAAATCTTAAATCTGGGCAAGTAATAATAGTCAAGTTTTAAGAGAAGAAAGATGCATCTGCATTTTTTAACTAAAGACACTCAGCATTAGCTCTTGTTTTACCATTAAACAAGAGAAAGTTACTCTGCATTTTAGTTTTAGTAAGAATTTTATGGCACTTGCAACACAATAAGGTCATATAAATGCCAAAAATTAGAGGTGTTACAAGAGAGTAACAAACATAAAAAAGAAGGAGGAGAGATCAGGACGATAGATGTTTGATAGGAAAGAAGGAGCAAACCACACCAGAGCACTCGCCAACCAACCACTTACTCTGCGTTTGTTCATAAATCATGCTGTGTCTGTGGCAGCCTTCATACAACTAGGAAAGATATATTGCGCGATTGAAAAAAAAAAGACAAAACTGTGTAAATACATGGGTAGAGTTAAACTTCTTGTATGGGGAATAAAAATAATGACAGCTAATACATTTATTCTTTTAATTTTTGTGTCGGAAATATGCGCGGACACTTAAAGAATGAATGTAAAGAAATCAGAGCATTGTCAGCTATTATAAATGATCATAAAATCGAAAATAAAAGCTGGAAAAGTCTGGTGCTGATTCAGTGTCACTGGAAAGCTAGAAATTATTCTTATAACCCAATTACGAAAAGTCTTCCCTGTTTTTAAGTCAGCTTACAAAACCTAGACTTAGCATTTTATTAAGAAAAGTAAGGAATTTCTGGAGTGTAAAGATACTGTTCGTGTATTTAATTGTAGATGTATTCTGGAACTAAATTCGGTTTGTACTTTTTCATACAGAGACTTCAGGGTAATTTTTATAAACTTTCGAAAAAATATGCGAATATTCACGATTATAAATGACACATGAAGCTGTATTTGGAGGAACTACTTCATAGCGAATTGTGTGCCAGATGGATAAAGTTGCAAAATTACAGCTTCCTATTATATGCGCAGATACCATCTTTTCTGAGTATCTGCACTAATGTTATGTCGTTCATGTTCCAATAGTTCGACAGTTTTTGTAATGCCGTTTATTTTATATTGATTTTTTTTTCATTCACACTTGTCAAAAAAATTTAACAATTTAGCATTGCCTACTTCACCGTGTCTAACGAAATAACCAGACAAGTTACAATGTCCATTCTTTTTTTACCCTCAAGAGCGAAAATATGTACTTTGTATGCATTAAATGATAATTACCTTAAATACTAGGTTACATCTATAACTGTGCGTTGAAAAGTACCAAAAATTAAGTCAGCCGAGACAGAGCGGTGACAGGGAGCTGACCCCCGTGACCCCGACGTGATAAGGCGCTCGGCGGGCCCCGCTGCAACTAAAATTCCACTGCTGGGGCGCCGTGTTCCAGACTGGCTGAAAATGCCGATTTCTCTGATTTTATTATTTTGATGAGCGCCTGATTTCACCAAGATGTCTCACAAATGTTGGGGGTTCCAGCTGCCCCAGTTTTAGATTTTCAATTTTCTTGAAAAAATAATTGATTTGCAACAGTTTTAGTGGCAATATATCATTGCATTAGTTTTCTGAAAATAGTTTGAAATTTTTACCATTGTTTTCTTGTTGCATGTTGGCATGGCATTGGAGGCGTGATCAATTCATGTAAAATTTGGACCGCATTGTCCTCCTTGGTTTATATATCTCTTTTTATAGACTGAAATTGGTGCATAATGAAAAGATTTCTGCGTCCAACCGATTTCGCCGTGTGGTAGACTGTAATAATGTACTGACGCAGGTATGTGATATGAATTCGAAAAGAGTACTGAACTCATACAAACGCATGATGTATATCTGTTTTGTTGTTTCAGGAAACTTATTGATGCAGATGTGTTTTCCAAGTCAGACCCAAGTAAGTTGGATTGCTTTTATAGTGGGGGGAAGGGTGCTATGCTTTTAGATTTTTAGATTTTAATTTTGATTATAAAACATACTACTGTATATATTTCATCATATGTATTGTTTGTTGGTTGTTTCTTTTTTAGCAAATTGTGGAAAATATTAGCTGCAAAAACCAGGGGGGAGTGAGAAGGCAGGGGAGGGGATATTCAGACAGTGAGTAAAAAGTGGTTTTCAGTTCAGGATGAAGAGAGTGAGAGAGTAAAAAAGAGAACAAAAATAAAAGCGTGTTTCAGTGCTATTTTCTCGTAGTCTCTGTGGACCCTTAAATGTTCAGCGTCGCGTTAATCATAATCTGTTAAACTCAATAAAGTATGCTCTTCTTTTCTTGGGTACCTCTGCAGAAGTTTTTTATAGATTTTTTAGTAAATCATATGGTCACACTCACAGATTTTCTATTTTAATTTTGGTTATTGTCAAAACATACTGCTACATATTTATTGGGTTTCTCTCTCTCTCTCTCTCTCTCTTTCTCTCTCTCTCTC